AGCTTCTTTGTCTTGACAGTCTTTCCCTCTTTTTCTGCCTTCTGCCTGTCCTGTCTCCTTTTCCTTCCTGGTCATCTGTTAGGCCTGAGGAAATCCTATCCTTGAGCATGGGCCTTATTAGTCATTTTAGAGTCTCACATTTAAATCTGAAGAATTACCAAGTTTCTTTGAGTTATTTGTAGAAAGGTGTTACACATCCACGCAGATGAGTTCAGACTCCACCAGTTCTTTCTTCTTCCTGTCTCACCTCTGCTTCCCCCTTGCCCCCTCCCCATACTTGCTGCTCTACCAGCAACCCAACAAACTGTCTGTCTTTGGTGGTTTATTACAGAATAAATCGTGTTGCAGAATTGGAATTTTAGAACACGTAAAATGCCTCAGCAGGAGTGAGGCAAACATTTTTGCTGTTAAATGTACTGTTAATCAAAATGTTAGGTATAGTGGTTATATCAGGAAGATGTTGGAAGTTTTTTGTCATCTCACTGAGTATGCCTGAATAATTGCTGTTAAAATAATTTGTGTTTGAACTACTTAATCTGAACTGGAGGAAAACGGTAATGGATGCAGTTTGAATATACCTGTAGTAAGAAATTAAACTTTAAAAAGGGGCAATATGGGGAGAAGGTGCAGGGAAGTGGGCTGTTTTGTATTTTTATATATATGTATGTACAGAATCATGTAACAGATGAGCATCGCTTATGCTTTGTGTACAGTTACCTATTTGTTAAATTCCACAGTGTAAATGTCACAGTGTTTTGTAGTTGTTTTGTTATAATGACATTTCTAAAAGTTGTTTTCCTGAGTGGTTCATGATGTAGAAATGTTTTATAGCTATTTAATATATGACCTGTTGTGCATTTTCACTCTATTTTTTTTTCCATTAGTTTCCATTAAAGTGCAGTAAAGGCAATGTATGTATGTTCTGGGAGCTGTAGTGACACAAAAGAAAACCTGGTTTTTGTTTATACAGGCGTTATATATGTATTAGTATTCAGAACATGGCTGTTAAAACTTTGAGCCCCTTTTACATGACTGTTCAGACCACTGCTGCTATGTTGAGCTGATTTGTTGCTGATATTACTGGAATGCTAATCTTTATGGCCTAAGTAAATATGGGAGACACCAGGACTGGATTACTGAGAAGCTGAAACATGTGGAATGGGGACAGGAAAACTGTTTCTGGGAATATCTGTTAACGCTTAGTGAGGACTACGTTTTCTTTTAGAAAATAGTTGTGGAATTGTTCTAGAATATACTTGTGTAAGTGGAGCAATATTCTGTTAGAAAAGAAGTCTGTAGTGTGCTGCTGGAGCGAGCACTGGAGTTGGAGTGTTTAGCAGCCTGCCAAAATCTGTGATGCAAGTACAGCCCTATTTGTATGTTAATATTAAGTTTGTCTGTTTGACACTTTATATATTTAGAATGTTACTTGGTATACCTTCTACTAGTAACTGGTAACTAGTAACAGTTAAACTTAAGGATTTTTACTTCTCCTTTGCAGTGCACTATTTTAGGGCTATCTAACTTATTATAACTTATTAGGGAAGTTAGGGAAGATCTGAGATGAACTCGTTTTAAGGTGAGAATGTAAAATGAGCAAATGAGCAGATTTACTGTTTCCTTTAAATTTTTTTTTTTTAAATTTTTTTTTTTTTTTTGGCCAAGACTTATCATGTAGTTGTCATGAATAGACATTGGAATGAACAGGCTGTACATTTGGTTGGAAGTCCTTTTAAGAAACAGCACTGTCAGTTCAATTGTGTTTTTCAAAATTACTGAAGATATTTTTTATCTATAGGCTGTAAAACAGAAGCATTGTGTAACAGCTGAGATTTGAGGGGAACATAGTCTAATTAATTTTACCTGGAAAGGTCATTGCACAGTAGGAGATTGTTGCCTGGATATTCTTGATGCTGTCTCTTTGGAAATGGCTCAATGTATATTCCAACATGAAGCTTTGTGTTTTGTCTTGCTTAAATTGCCATCTTCCATGGTTGAGGCATGCATGTAATCTTCTCATCTTCACTGTCTGATGAGGCTCTAAGTATGGGATTGGACTAGATGATCTTTTGAGGTCCCTTCCAATCCCAACATTCTGTGATTCTGTGATTCTGTGATTCTGTGATTCTGTGATTCTGTGACTCTGCCCCTATATTGCTGCTGCTGCTCACTTCTTAATACAGAAGAATGGCACTGGGAAGACTCTTCCCTGCTCCAGGGGCAGCAAGATGGAATTCTGCATAGGGCACTGTGTGTTAGAAGCTTCTCCCGTCGGCATTGACAGTACTTCTGGGGCAGAAAGGTAGCTTCATTTTCTTACTCTTCTTACTTTTCTTTCTTATTATTTCTCCTTGGTGTGCAGCTTGAGAACTGCATTTTTACCCAAGCATGGTCTTACTGCATGTTTGACGTCAGATAACTATAGAAGTTTTTAGGAGACTTGTGTAAATTGTTCACTGTAGTTGCAGTTACTTACTCATGTATTTCTCTTTCAATGTCTCTTTTCTTGGGTTCTTTTTATTTCACACACCAAAGGAAAGGGATTCCTCAATTTTTACAGTAACCAAAGCATTTGGAGGGGAAGTATTTGAATTCCCATCTCTGAAAGCATTTATTCTAAAAAATAAATAATTTATTCATTATATCCTGACTCAAATTTATGTCTATGCCAGTAGTTTATAGCATCTGCTGTCTTGGAGATAAGCTGGTAACCATCATCAGTTAGAATGCCAATTTATATGCAATTCAGTGTGTCCATGCAGTAGTTTACAAGCCTGAAAGGTGTCAGTATCTTTCTTGATCTTGAGTCTTAGAGTGGCAGTCTAGTAATTCATCCACATTCAGATGGCTGAACAATATAATAAACCTTGCAGAAAATAATCTGTTAACTCCAAGGAGACTGTGACTCTTAAAGTGTGGTTTCCACAAATGAAGTTCCACTTGACAGGTCTGCTTGCCACCAGTAACACCAACACATTCCAGATGCTTGAGTTAGGAAAGTAGAACACTAAGTTTCAGATAGGTTTGTTGGGGAATTAACGCTTGTCAGGTTATATCTTTGTGTCATTTGTAGACAAATATGTTGTGCTTTCCCTTCAGTCTTTATTTTTATGGTTTATTCTTGCTTTGAGAATTAATCACTTCTGGTTAAAGAGACCCAGAGATCCTGATGAAATAGCTAGTCATTAATTGCACACAAACTTCACAACTTCTACTGCTCTCACAAAGTGCACTACAGGAATAGGTATGGGGAAGAAAGTTTAAAAATCCTCTTCTGATGACCTCCTGCTTATCTGCTTCAAGTGCTTGCTTTTCCATCTTTATGAGAAAACCTTAGATTTTAAAAAGAAGTTAAGACTCTTGTTTACAATTTACAGAATTAGAGTGGTGAAAGGGGAAGCTGATGCAAGAGAAACTGTTAAACTTCATTTTCAGGCTTTATCAGTTTTTGGAGGTTTCTGTTTTTAATACCTTTTCAAAGTTCAGTATTAGTTGCCAGTGACCTCTGCCTTTCTGAATCTTGATAGAAATAGGATTTGGAAGCTTACTTTCTTTACCCTTTCATAAACAGGACTGATATATCTCAACACCTAATTTCTGACTCTCATGGGAGCAAGATTAATTAGGTGTTTGAAGTTTTGTTTTGTTCTTGTTGCTTGAAGGACAAATGGCTACAGTTTCACATTATAAAGAAAAGGTTTTCAGTAGTGGAATTGAAGGAGAGTGGTTCCACAACAAATACATTTAAGAAATTAATCTTTTCAATCCCCTGCTGTTAATCCGTCAGGATCCTTACGTGTCTGTTGTTCAGATCTCAGCTTCAGCTTCTGGATCTGAAACAGCTGTGTTGTTTACCCATCCTTAACCTATTGCTCTCTGACTTACGGCATATTCTTTCTGGGTAAATTTTGCACCACCCTCTTTCACAGGAAGCTGAGTGGTTGATCACCATTGGGAATTTACTGTTGCTTCACTGTGTTTGTAGAACATCCAAAATAATTTTGACAGATATTTAAAGACAAATTCAGTTTTGCTGAGACATGATTGTTGAATGGCACTTACATAGTGATCTGACTAATAAACAACTTAACCTGAAGCGCTTGATCAGATGAGCTTCTAAACAAGTAACTGCTTATTAGTTTTCCAGAGTAGTAATAAAAAGATTATAATTAATAGTGTAAAGCCATGCACAACCTATAACAAGAACAGTTACCTAGTAAAAACAAAAGAAGACTGAGCTCTGAGTCTCTATTTCTGAATACAAGTTATTTGGCCAAAAATTTATTTTCACATGACTGATTAAAAGGGTACAACATGTGTTCACTTCACTGGTACATTAGTGCTTAGAAGTACTTTTGACAGAAATGTCCTAATGTACATCTCTGTAAATATTAATTTTTCTTTGTGACAATAAAGCAATGCTTTGTTGGAAATAAATTAGCAAACATCAAGCTGTCACATTCTGCTTTCAGACTGAAGACTCACTGTTTTTAAAAGAATAGGTTACTATTTAAGAAGAGTCCTAATGGAGGCTTTATGGTTTTCCTTAGCATTTTGTCTATTTGCCATTGCCATTTGATCAGGAAACTTTTGTGGGAAAAACAGCTGATGAGAGGGATGGTGAGTTAAATATTGCAAATATTGGTGAAGATTTTTGTTGTATAAAAGATTTTTTGAGTAAAAGATATACTCCACACTTTACCCTTCTTAAATTAGGAAAAAATGCATTTGACAGTTTTTACTTTAGTGATTATATTGTCTATTTTTAAAATGCCCGTGTCAGTAGTTTGAAAATATCTTGAAATTATTCCCCCTGCTCTAAACATACATGTGAAAGTGTAGACTGTGTGTACTGTGCATGGTTTTATGTCTGATGCTTTGCTCAGAGGTATGTAAATGTCCAAATGCTTTTTGTAAATGAGAAGCATTTATTTTTATGTGCCTTTATCAAGTGTGTTTTTTTGTTTTGTTGTTTGTTTGGATATTTCTCTTAGGTTAAGAAGTTGTATTATCTCAGGGAAGCAGTAGCCTATTGTGGGTTTCTTGGAGCAGCAAGACAAACCAATAATGAGCAGATGATACCAGTTAAACAGTGCCTCGCAGACAACATCGTCACAGTGGCAACAACCTCGCAAGCAACATCAAAGAGCAGGGGACTTTGTGTTCCTGAGTCAGTGGGAAACATGCCCAGTGTCTCAGCTGCCAAAGTGGCTGCAGTTTCTAAATAGATCTCTATAGATCTTGGAACCATGTCTGTTAGTGCAACAGAGAATGATCCTCCTAGATTCTTTGTGGGTGGAGAAGATGGAGAAGAATTACTGGATTCAGCCAGATCTACAGATTATGAACACTTCTATGACCATGAGGAAGAAGAAGAGGAAGAGTATGACTCTGTACGTACTGTAGGGACAAGTGTGTACTATCCTGTATGTTCTCTAGCATTATTTTACTTTGAAATGGCATTAAGAGCCCAAAAGTCTAATACTGAAATTGTGTTCTGAATTGGGAAATTATTCATATTCAGGTAATGATAAAATTACTTTTCAGTACACTTGAAAAGTAAGTATACCCTGAACTTTGAAGTAGAAGTGATTGACCTTAATACAGAGTTTCATGGCAGCTGAGGTTGGTGTGCCAGCTTTGCAGACTTGATTTGGATTCTGGGAATGAACTTGATGGCATAGCCTTCATTTTATTTATTTGGATATTTAGTAGCAAAAGATAATCAATAATTTTTCTTTTGTGTATGTTGTCCACTGCCACTGAGTTAACTTTTGATTTTTCCATTTGAAGAGACTCAACATTTCTTTTTTAATTTTACTGTTGTAAAATCTGCTCTGGTATTCTGCTGCTAAAACCCTGTTGTGTTCTGAGAAAACTTAAAAATAATAATTGCTTTTTTCCCCTACTTTTCAGCCACCAGAAAGACAAATTGCAGTTGGGATTTGTTCAATGGCTAAGAAATCTAAGTCCAAACCAATGAAAGAAATTCTTGAACGCCTCTCCATGTTTAAGTACATAACTGTGGTAATATTTGAAGAGGATGTTATTTTGAATGAGCCAGTAGAAAACTGGCCTTTATGTGACTGTCTCATTTCTTTTCATTCTAAAGGTAAATCTTCTAATAATACAATAAATATTTTTGACATCTAAATACTTTAACCAGTTTGAGGATCTTTCTGGGTTTTTTTTTTGTTTTGGTTTGGGTTTTTTGTCATGTAGTTTGTTTGGATTTTCCTAGGAAGTGATAATTTTTTTTTTTTTAATATAATACAACTGACTTTTAAAATAAAAGCTTTTAAAATTATACTGTTTTCATTGCTTGAGAAAGTTCTGTCTATCATGGTATTTAAAATAGCCATTCCATTGGTAAATATTTATGGAGCCAGTGGAAATAGTGATCTAATACTTACTTGGTTCAGTAACTCTGAAGGCATGTTGCTTTCTCAATTGAAGTGTTAGGTCTTTGGCCACTTGTTAATGTATCTCTGCTAATATCTTTTTAAAATTTTTTTTGTGAGGCTGGGCAGTGAACCAAAGATGAGTACACTGAAGTTAAAAATCACGTTTTGCAGCAGAGGCAATAAAAGCCTTGGTTCTGGCCCTATGAAAGTGGAGGGCATGTGGAGTGAGGAGGAGGGAATTGGAGACAGGTCCACTACTTTTGGCAGCCTATACTGAAATTACGCTGTAGTTTCATGATTGTCTTAAGCTGGTGTTATGTGTGTCTGCAGTTGACAGAGCATCCTCCCCCTTAAGCCGTATCTCTCTTTGTACTCTAAAGCTTGAAGATGAACATTCCAAACTATTTACTGGTGTTGTGTCTCCTGGTTTTATTTACCTTAATAAATATTTTAGGATTTCCACTGGACAAAGCAGTTGCCTATGCAAAACTCAGGAATCCATTCATAATAAATGATTTGAATATGCAGTATCACATACAAGACAGGTAAGTAACACTACCAGTAAACTACAGACTACTTCTAAGTTGGAGACTTTGAAAAGCTGTTGCTATTGCATAGCAACAGTTCCAGTGTATTGTACAATAGTATAAATAAAATTACAGTGAATGCTATGTTTTATTAATTTATGCATAGTTTTCTGGGATATGTCTTTAGGTGTGTTTTTTCTTTTACTGTTTTGATGTTGATGCATCTGAAGATTTACCAAGGTAGAAATTTGCTGATATATTTGTCTATATCTGATCAAATAAAAAAGTTTAAACTCTGAAAATATGTATAGCATAGGAATTTATAGCAACTGTACAACCTCATATAATTGTAGAACTAATGTAAATTACTAAAGGTCTTTTTTTCTGTTAAGTGGATACTTAACAGAAAATTTTGGTCTTCAAGAGTGTGTGTTTATTCAAAGTGAATTTTCTTTTGGGGCTGCAATCATGCGTAGCAAATACTAACAAAACAATAGTGAGCAAAATACATAAACATTGGAGCCTTCTGAACAGTGAGCAGACTTGCTATATTGGATGCCTTCAGCTGCTGTACTGTATAAACTTTTTCAACCCTTCATGTTAGTAATCTCCTTTAACAAGAGAATTGTTCTATCCAAATTGCTGTACTGACAGAGTGGAGAGGACAGGACTGGCATAGCAAATTGCACTTTTACTGATATTGATGAGATCACTGCAGAAGTACAGCTGTGTCAGTGACCTTTAAAGCATTATATTAACAAGTAGGGTATTATATATATAATCTTGTCCTGTGTTATTTAAAAAAAAAAAATTAGTATGTATTTTTCTCCTCCCTTACTCATGGACTGTAAATTAAAAATATTGACAGGATTTGCTGTCTTACTGTGCAACTTTTGTTCTTTTCTTCTAGGAGAGAAGTATACAGTATTCTTAAAGCTGAAGGCATTTTACTTCCTCGCTATGCAGTTCTAAACCGTGATCCAAACAATCCCCAGGGTAAAAACTGATGACTAAAATAACAGCCATTGGCATCTCTTTGATTCCACTGGAGAACAGTACATACATAGCGGAAAGCTAAATTTCACTTGCTAGACAATTAATTCGTTGGTGCAGAGGTTGATTTCTCCTCCGATATTTAAAGTATTGTTGTAGATTAACCCTTATTGGCTGTGAGGGCAGTGTATGAAATGGAAGAGGCATTGATGCTGTGTAAGCACTGTTCAGCAATAACTAAAACATCAAGACTGTTTTGGTCACAAATTCAAAACATAGCACGTACCAGCTGCTGTAAAGAAAATTAACTGCATCCCAGCCAAAGGCATACAATTATGCATCTGAAAAGCATGATTCTGAAACCTGGGGTCACAATCCTTTTACAGCCATCATAGAACAACTAGAATGTAAGGGCTTCCAAACTCACACTGGGACCCTAATATATCACCAAAAAGAGCAGCATTCATGATATTACATTACCTACAATAATTCGTAATTTTATGTAGGGAAGTAATATTGACAGAAACAAGTCCAACTATGAATACTTTCCCTTCTAAGTGCAAGCAACCATGTAAGGTTTGTTTGTTTTTTTTTTTCCTAGTCCAGACAGATTTGCAGATTATATACTGTGAATATAAACTGGAATTAATTTTTTTCTGTGCCTGAAAACAAATGTAACAAATTTTTCTACTAAAATGAAATCTTACAGCAACAATAGGAGATTTCAATGACAGGTCAAAACACAAGAGTAAGAGATAAGAAAAAATAAAGAAAATTGAAGTATTACTGTGGTCTAGCTCTTAAGAGGTAGGGAATTTTAGATTAAAATGTCTGCGTAATCTAGTGGGAAAAGGACTCATTTATGCTACAAAAGTGAAATAAAAGCTGCTACTTGCAGCCAACCAGTAGTGAAGAGATTCCTGATCCCTGATTCCAGAGGACCTAATCCTCTGTGCCATGTGCATTAATCACACAGTGTGAGGCCATTTTCAACCTATTAAAAATACTGTTATGTCTGGCACTGCACCATGTTTATTATCCGTCTGTCCCCCTGATATTTCACAGAAAGGCACTGAAGAAAGAGGTAAACAGCCCTACCCCTGTCTTCAAAACACGTAAAAAAATATACCACCATGGAAGCTTGTGCATGTGTAGGAGACGGTTTCCTGTTTGAAACTGAGGGAATCAACAGAAATCCTGGAAGACAGTATTAAAGTAATGTAGTATAGACGTGGTACAGCAGTCATGTTCAGGACATGATCATCGAGTCTTTGTGTAGTCAGTAACAAATCAGTGAACCAAAAATGTAATATAATCTTTTTATTTCAACCTAAATATTACCCCATATCTCTAATAATTTAGTTCCATGACTATATTATTACATTGCTGTTGTTCATACTGTTTCTCCAGAATGCAGCTTAATTGAAGGAGAAGATCATGTGGAAGTGAATGGAGAAATTTTCCAAAAGCCTTTTGTAGAAAAGCCAGTTAGTGCTGAGGACCACAATGTTTACATTTATTATCCAACATCTGCTGGAGGTGGAAGCCAGAGGCTCTTTCGAAAGGTGAGGGTATTGTAGTAAAGCTGTTGGAAAAGTTGTAGATGTGTAACAGAATTGCAGAGTAATTCTGTCCTATGCATATGTTAGCTGGGACCTATTTTGTCATGTCCTACTTGTGTAGGAATAGTGACAGATCAGATAAATTAATTTCAGGAGGATATGTAGATTGAATGAAGACTCTTGTTCCTTTCAGTAGACTGTCAGCCACTGCCTATTCTTACAGGTAAAAGAAGCATAAACTATCAGTGCACTTTTAGAATCTTATAAAAATCTTTTGGGAACAATTAAAACCTTCTTGCTTCATTTGGTACAGATGGTGTTTTCTCAGTACAGATGTGTTAAGGAGTTTTGAGGTTTCTCAGGTAGTAGCCTATGAGTTTATTAATAGAAAAATATTCATTTCAGATTGGCAGCAGAAGCAGTGTTTATTCCCCTGAAAGCAGCGTGAGAAAAACAGGCTCCTATATTTATGAGGAATTCATGCCTACAGATGGTACTGATGTGAAGGTATGACAACTGCACATTCTTATTTATATTTAGAATAATCAAGTGCTCCAAGAGCTTGTCAGTTTTAAAGATGAAAGTATATCTTTGTGTCAAGGATTAATTTTAATTAAGTTTTGGTATATTTCATAAGAATGTAATTCTTATTCTAGCTAAACACAGTACTTGTAATATAGAACAGCTTGGCTTATGTTGCTGGAGTCAAGTGCTGGAGGCTTATTACCGAACACATAGTCTTTCTTTTTTGTATAGTATTAGTGCCAGAACAGCATATACCTAACTGTGTAAACAGATAGATGCTGCTTAGATATTGTGTCTGAAGGTAACAAACAAATCTGTAATTGAAATAGATTTTATCAACTATCTTAGTATTCTAATTAATAAACAAAAGTTACTTACTAAAATTATATGAAGTTGCAAAAAATAATGCATTGACCTTATCTGTAATTATTTTCACTCTTTTGTTCATTTATTTTCTTAACAGATGTAAAGATTAGCTACCATGAGTGTTAAAATAGAGAAATAACAGAATAGGTGTTAAGCCAGCCGTGTATGGAAATTGTTTTTTTTCCCTTTGTGTTAGGTCTGGCTGTTTTAAGCCATCACAAAACATGTGAAACAATGTTTTACAATATGCATGAGAGATCGCTGTATTTAGACAAAAAGTGGAGGTTTAGGGGGTGTGATATCTATTCCAGTCTTAGGCTAAAGAGCAGTCAACTTCTTCCACTTGGTGATACAAGAGGGTAATGCTTGTTTTATGTTCTCAGACAAATTCACTCTTCTTTAAGTTGCTATGTTTTCATGAGCTGTGCTCTTCATAGTGTGCAACAGTTTACAATAGGTTAATCTGAGTTTATAGATGTCTGGATAAGAGCTTTAAGAACAGTTTCCAAAAAGAAAAGTTTCTTGCAGCCTGAAAAGACTTGAGGGGTGGGGACTGTTTTGACTACTTGCTGTACTGTAGTCATCAAGCAACAGCTGTGGACTTCCACCACCCCAAATAAATGACAGATTTTCTTCAGGTAACAAGACTGTCAGCTTGATATTAGGCAGCTTCACCCAACTCACCCTCTTGCCTAAGTTGACTAGATAGGCAGTATTTGCAGTCATCTAGTTTAGTTGAATACTCTTTATCAAAGCTTAGAGTTTTGTTTTTAATTGAAGTGACAATAACCCATTTTTGAAAGCTGCTGACAAGTCTCTTCTAGCATATGACCCAATCCTTTCAGTAAGCATTGAAAATGCATCAGAGTAGGTAGCACAATCATTCTTTCAAGCCCCTGCCTTGTAGTGCTAAAACCAGGTAGATCTTTGCTTTGTTTAGTCCTGCCTAAAATATGAAAATATTTTTTTCAATTAAGAGAATCACTTAGTCTTGCAGACAGGTTTCCATAATCAAGTAAATTGAAATAACTCTCAAATAATCTCAAATTAATCTGTTCTCAAAGTTTCTGCAGATGTTTTGGAGAGGAAAACATTATTCTTTACCTCTGTACCACCATAATTAAGAAATTAATTTTTATTCATAAAGTTATATTATTTTTCTTTACCTGTGCTCCACCTGTTTTTTCTTGTTGCTTTATGCTAGGTTGTCAGTAAGTGATGTGTGTTCTCTGAAGGCAGAAAATGCCATTGAGGGAAGGTACTTTAGAGTGACCTTTTCAGTTATTAAAGCAGCTAGTATTTTTTGAAGTCATTATCACATTTGAGATAAATTTAGGAAGGTGTATGCATACATGTAATGTAATTTAATTCCACTCTATCAAGAGCTCCTGTTTTTTGATAAAGGTGTACACAGTAGGTCCAGACTATGCTCATGCTGAAGCCCGGAAGTCTCCAGCTCTGGATGGCAAGGTAGAACGAGATAGTGAAGGAAAAGAAGTGAGGTATCCAGTCATCCTGAATGCAAGAGAGAAATTAATTGCTTGGAAAGTATGCCTTGCCTTTAAAGTAAGCTGATTACTTTCCTATCTGATCAAACACTTCGTGTTAATTGATTGTTTATTACATAAACTTTGCTAGGGTTTTAGTGCACAGAACCAGCAGTGATAATTGCTGCAGAACTCCTAGGAAGGTGAAAAGTTGAACTTGCACATCCACATCTTTTTTTAATCTCAAATAATTCTTCCTTTAATGCATTGAAAAGTTCTGGATGGGCTGCTTATGTTGCGTAAATTTCCTGAATTCACATGTTGCTATTGTTGCTAGTCCACAGTGTTATCTGTTTTATGCATAATATGTTCACGCATTTTGTTAATGGTTTTAAGTTAGTAGAACACAATTTCAAGGTCAAGTTTTCGTAACTTTTGTTATCTACTGTTTACATTGGGTCCAATTAAATGTTAATTTGGTACTGGCATAACTAGGTCCTTGTTTGAAGTGTATGATAGTTTCCATTTTTGTATAGTTTTAAAATTCCATTGTTTAAAACTTCCTTTAATCTCTTACCCTCCTTTCACCTGTCTGAGTAAAAGGTTGTCTTTCAGTCTGTCTCATTATCTGTGTGTAACTATGATGGCATTCTGGAGCCTGTAGGTTGTGAACCTTTATCATCTAGCAACGTAGACTCTGAGATCTAAAAAAGTAATCTGTTGAAGTAGCATCTAGTATCCTGTACTAATAATGTCAGTATTATGTCAATATAAAAATTATCCTGTCAACTTTAAATGTGGACAAAAATGTTTTTTGCAATACTTTGTAATTTCTTGTGCACCACCCTTAAAAACTATGTGTAGGGAGAAACCACCATCAGAGTGGGGAATTTTTAGGCTCATTATTACTTCTGCTGTAAATCTCGAAGGTTAAGTTTGTGCACATGTAAACTTGATATTCAATACTGATACTGCTAGGGATATGTAGGAAGGGTAGAATCAAGTTGGGGTTGTAAAGTTGAAAAGAGAAAGATATGTACATGACATGAGTAAACCTAACATGGAACTGGCAAAAGATACTAAGTATAAAATGTGTCATATTTCTGGCATGTTTTCAGAGTAATATGTTAAAATATAAAGTTTATTTAGAATAAAGAATCCTAAGGAAGGTGATCAATAACTTTTATTCTTAAAACAGCAAACAGTTTGTGGCTTTGATTTGCTGCGTGCTAATGGACAATCCTATGTCTGTGATGTGAACGGCTTCAGTTTTGTGAAAAACTCCATGAAATATTATGATGACTGTGCTAAGATACTGGGGTAAGAATTTACTTATTTATTTCAGAGAAGTTTTGCTATTCACTCTGTTGTATGTGACTATAGTTCATGTACTACTTATTCCTTATTCCTAAATTAATTATTTAAAATTAAATATCACATAAAATAAATAATTAAATTAAATAATAAAATAAATAAAATATTAAAAAGAATCCTAAATCAATCAATAAATCCTAAATAAATTCCTTATTCCTAAAATGATTCAAAACATCTGAGTCTGAGTGTTTGTGAACACTTAAAGCTAACTGAATAAGTATATTGAAAGCTGGATTATGTTCTTAAAGGTAGTTGAGATTTTTTTCAAGTAGAGAAGCACCACTGGATGGTTATGCTTGCTGCTGTTTAATATGTGCCCAAATTAATGTGCATTCTCTTTGAGCTTAAGCTGGTGTGTACTTGCATATTTGTGGGTTTCATACTGATAAATCCAAACTGATGTAATATCAAGGTGTCTTCTGTCATACCAACTTCTCTCTGCTAGTGGGAGCAAAAAAGATGTAGCAAGGGATTGTACAGAATTGAGTAGTGAACTCTATGCCAATTAAATGTTGCCCTCACAGCAGAGTGGTCCCATTTTGGCCAGTTAAACAGGCTTTACAGTAAGATTGCACTGATGAGATACAGCATGACTCTGCGTTATCAAATGGTCTGGGATCTTAGTAAATGAAGGAAGAGCTAAACTGAAATCCTGTAGTCTTGTTGTGTTAGGCCACTTTTGAGTTTGAGTTATAATTCTCAGACCCATTTTGATTCCTCTTTATTCAAATTGTTGTATCTGTTGAATTCTCTGAAAAAAGTTATCTCATTATTTTTTCTTATGCTTTATTCCATTATGCAATAAATTGCAGTGTTAAGTAATAGCAGATTTCTTTCAGGCTTTTTAGAAATTATATTTTGTCTTATGCTACTTTAAGATGCACAATTTTTTTCCTCAGTGTTACTGCTTCTTATGTAGATATTAATCTGAAGTTCAGTATCTTTTGGTTAAACACTTGGGAGATAGAACATTAGGAAGATTTAACGACCTTCTGTAGGTGGAGGCAGTGTTATCATCTTGTAGTTATGACCAGAGACTGCCTATTTTTCCAGTTCTATCACAGAAACTTCTAAGAAATTGCCACTAAAGGTACCAGTTACTATTTGATGAGAATGACTTGCTGATTATCAGGGACTTCAGCTGGGCAATCAAGTCAGTTATCTGAGTATTTAAATGAACAAGGCTAAATCATATCCAAGGAACTCTTTTAGGAACTGGAGTTCAAAAACTGAGGTTTCTTACAAATCCAGGGCCATTAGCCTAATGTTGTCTCTGTAGCAGTTGTAATAGCTTTAAATTGTTGTTTAAGTAAGTTTTTATTATACAATTAAAAGAATAATACAGATCTAGGGACTCATGACTGCTAGTACTCTAAAAACCACATTGTTAAAAATATTTTCTGTTTAGTTTGGAGTTTGTATGTGCTGTGTAAGCTGTGCTTTAAAATTACTGTTTGTTTTGTTTTTTTGTTTTTTTTTTTAACCCCTTTTTTAGAAATATCATAATGAGAGAACTTGCTCCCCAGTTTCAGATACCATGGTCAATTCCTTTGGAAGCTGAAGACATCCCTATTGTGCCAACCACCTCTGGAACAATGTAAGAAAATAGTAGCTACACCTGAATTTTGCAAACTCCTACTCTAACTTTTGTATGAAATTTGTTTTCTCTTCACAAGGTGTGCCCACTGGCCTATGAACGCTTGTTTTGTGTGATGAAAACAAGGAAGGAATCACAATTGCTATGCCAGCAATCAGAGTTTCTGACCCTTAGTCAAGCTGAGTATAGAAGAGCAGATTTTCAAGTGTAGCATCTTTTATGCATAGCTTCCTTCACTGCTAATCATTATTCCAGCACAAACTTAATATATGCTTCTAATAAACATGCTCTCTCATTTAATGAACTTCAAAATTATTGTTTTAAAAACTACTTAAAATAGATACTCTGTAGTTACCCAAGTCTTAAAATCAGTATTTATATTTTATACCTTACATCATTTTCAGTTAACCTTATATTCTTGCATATCCTTCCATCATTTCTGTAGTTACGTCCGATAACTATGACTTTGTCAATTGGCTTGATTCGTGGTGGTTTTAATATTAAATAGAAGACCCTTGAATATAGAATTGTGAAATACAACTCTCTTGAAATTTCAGGATGGAGCTTAGATGTGTTATAGCTGTAATACGCCATGGGGACCGAACACCAAAACAAAAAATGAAAATGGAAGTAAAACATCAGAAGTAAGTAGAATCTTGGTAAACATTAGTTTGGATGCTTTAGAGCAGAGCTCACTTTTTGGGCATGTGCAGACAATTAATTGAGCAGGAATTGCCTCAGACAAGTTGTTTTTTGTTTTGTTTTGTTTTGTTTTCTTGTAAATCTAACTGATGTTTCAGCTAATTAACAAGCATGCACCTCTCTTTCTAACAGGACTGTCAAATTATTTTTGCAGTGATACTTCATCACATGTTGTGCCTTGTGAACAGTCCTGCTTGATCTTAATGAAAATGCATTTGTGTCTATAGATGTCTTTATTCAAAATAATGCAGCAGAGAATATTTCTGGTTCACCATTTGACTGTGACTTCTACCTTTCTTGTTTTATCATAGCTGTTCTTGTATGAACTGTCATCTTGCTGCACCACATTTTTGTCTTTTACTTTTGTCAAAGTTTGATGACTCTGAATTTCTGGTAGATAACGTCTTTATGTTAACATTCCTCAAGTGCCTTACATAATTTGCCTGGAATTAGGTGCAATTTCAGTAAAAAGTATTTGTTTGTTTTGGGATTAGATTCTTGCATTCAGAAATAGATGCTGCAAATGTGTAGGACTGCTCATTTGGTGTATTTGGTCCCTGCTTCTGTTCAGGATCATTCTTGAAGATTAAGAATTTACATAGCTGTAAATTTGAATATTATGTCATTTGATATATATAATATCTTTCCTTTTTTTTTTATGGTTTCTAAGGGAACATTTTTAGTGCTCTTATTTCTCTAGTGTCTTCAAGACTTTCTTGGGAAATGAGATTTGAATGGTTGGTTTGACCTCTGTAATGCAGGTCTTAACAAGCTTTTCAAATAGTGTAAAGGTGCTAATTTCAGACTACTTTGAGTTTAAGAGCCCCTTATTCAAGTAATATTTTAATTTACAAACTGTGTTTTTTAATTAATATTCTTTCTTTTAAAGGTTTTTTGATCTCTTTGAAAAATGTGATGGATATAAATCTGGAAAACTAAAACTGAAAAAACCAAAACAGTTGCAGGCAAGCTTGTTTTTATTTTCCTGCTATCGTATTTTATAAGTAGAAAATTATTTATTTAAGTAAATCCTATGTTTCCTTTCTTTAGGAAGTGCTTGATATAGCAAGGCAACTCCTTGTAGAACTTGGGCAAAACAATGATTCTGAGATTGAAGAAAGTAAAGCAAAACTTGAACAGCTAAAGACAGTGTTAGAAATGTAAGTGTCTAGTATTCAGGCTTCATAGCAACAAAGTTGTATCTCCTATTTTCACCTGTTTGACCAGTTACTACTTCGATTGCAAGTTTGCATTCAAATATCTAATGATACATTAATTCAAGCAGAAGTCTTATCAAGAGAAAGGTTATCATGTTTGACATGATGAAGGAGAGCTGGGTAATCTCACTGTTCTTTCTCCTTATCCTTTTAATTGAACTCATTGCTTTATTTAGTGTCTCAGTAAACTTCCTATGTTAAAAAGTTCTTTGAAGTCAATTTTTATCTTCTTGCATGTTTTTAAGCTTAAAGTATTTGAGTGCAGGGTCTGCTTCTTGCAGTGTATGACATAATGAAGTCTCATGGAGCCAGTAAGAACTGTCTACTTACAGCAAACTTGGAGGATTCCACATAAATAAGGCTTTGTATATTAAGCCTGAAATAGTTAAGAATTAAAACAAACAAACAAACAAAAACCACACACAAAAAAAAAAATCCCCCAAAACCCCCCAAATTTAAAGCCTTAAGGTTTTTTAAAGGTCTGGAGTCTCAGAACTGATAACCTTAATTTTTAAAAAAATCAGGGCAAATACAGTTATTGAAATTTATGACAATTGTTTGAAATGCCGAGTTCTGCTGGAGAACTGAGTTGGCTAACAAAATAATGGCCATCTACACTGCAAGATCAGATTCTGGCTACTGATAGCCACTGCAGTTGTAGATATGCATAGATAAATTACTTATGCAATCTGCAAATTTTTTTATTTTTTTTTCCAGTTTTGTGTTCAGTGTTTTGAAAAAGAGTAGTAAATAGTGTTTTAAAATATTTCATTATAGAATGGGTGATATTTCTGTGGTCATTCTATGCTTGTTGAGTTAGGTTTGTTCTAAGCATTGCTTCGATAAATGTTGGTCACATGCAAAAATCAATGAGCAGCATAGATTTATTATCCCCTGTTACAGGTGCATAGCAGGTTTGGATGAAAATATTTAAAATGGTTCTCTCTTTTCCGCTTTCACTTTTTCCTGTTATTACTTCAGGTATGGACATTTTTCAGGCATAAATCGCAAAGTACAGTTAACATACCTTCCTCATGGTTGCCCAAAGACTTCTAGTGAAGAGGAAGGTATTGTATTACTTTTGCACCTTATCACTTAATATCATTTGTGTTTAAATAGTCATGTTCTAGTGGTATAACACGTCTTAGTATTAAGAAGAAGGAATATGTTGTTTTAAATGAATATTTGTATTGTTGGCAGATACCCAGTCTATTAATCTGGTGAATCATATACCTAAAACTATGTAGTAAATTTGTGTTCTAACACTGCTTTTTTGTAATGCAAAAGAAGGGTGAAAAGGAGCTTCAGTGATTCACCAAAGAAGGTGTTTTGTGCCTGGATGGGAAAATGCCACTCAACATTTACTGCTATCTTTAAAACTTTTATAAGCTTCTCTGGTCCTTGACCCATGGTTATTGACTGAAATAACTGTAGAGTATTTAGCATACAATTTGTTTTAATTTTTCTATCTTAATTTACTTTTTGCTTCAGATTTTGTGCTACATGTTTTTCACTTGTATTTTCTCTGTAATTTAACTACTTCAGGTTTCTCTGTTTCAGTGTCCATTTAGTTCTCCAGTTCAATATTTTCTTAATGTTAGAATGCTATTAAAGATTCATAATATTGAAGAGAATCTTTACTGAAGCCCTGCATAGTCCAGATATTTTCATTCATAATGCAAAAAAAAAAAAAAAAAAAAAAAATCATATACTTCACTACTAAACTCTTCTCTCTATGTACAATTAGATAATAGAAGAAATGAACCATCCCTGCTTCTAGTGCTAAAATGGGGAGGAGAATTGACCCCTGCAGGCAGGGTTCAAGCAGAGGAGCTTGGAAGGGCTTTCAGGTGTATGTATCCAGGTGGACAAGGTAAAACAAAAAAAAAAAAGTGTTGAATAGCATAAATCTCTTTTTAAGATAATAAAGTATAAAAGGAAAGTTTGAGCAAAATGTTTGTTTATTAGGAGATTATGCTGGATTTCCTGGATGTGGTTTACTTAGATTACATAGCACTTACCGACATGATCTCAAAATCTATGCTTCTGATGAGGGACGAGTTCAGATGACTGCAGCGGCTTTTGCAAAGGTACAATGTGAAATTGTATTTTCAATTTTAAAAATTCTAATGTTCTCAAGTTTGTTTTTTCTTTTGAACATTGAGGCAGATTTATGGTTTATTAGAGTCCACAGTGTATACAGGGGCTCTGTTTTGAAAGAAAGAGTTTAGTTCAGTGTGAAAAATTATCCAATTAATGTGCCAAGCATTTGAGGTTCTTTGAGCAGATACAGACAGGTTTTACTTATACAACCCTAGCAATATAACTTAGTCCTTAGTAATAACTTCCAGAATCATAGAATGGTTAGGGTTGGAAGGGACCTTAAAGATCATCTAGTTCCATCCCCCCTGCCATCAGCAGGGACACCTTCCAGGGGACCAGGTTGCTCAAAGCCTCATCCAACCTGACCTTGAACACTTCCAAGGAGGAGGCATCCACAACTTCTCAGGGCATCCTCTTCCAGTGTCTCACCACCCTCACAGTGAAGAACTTCTTCCTAGTATTTAATCTAAATCTACCCCTCTTTCAGTTTAAAGCCATTACCACTTGTACTATCACTACACTCCCTGATAAAGAGTTCTTCCCCATCGTTCTGTAGGCCCCTTTCCAGTGAAAGGCTGCTATAAAGTTTCCCTGGAGCCTTCTCTTCTTCAGGCTAAACCACCGCAACTCTCTCAGCCTGTTCTCACATGGTAGGTGCTCCAGCCCTCTGTTCACCTTCATGGCCCTTCTCTGGGCCCACTTGAGCAGGTCCATGTCTTATGTTGAGGACACCAGAGCTGGTTGCAGTACTCCAGGTGGGATCTCACGAGAGCAGAGTAGAGGGGCAGAATCACTTCTCTCAACCAGCTTGTCACACTTCTTTTGATACAGCCCAGGCTGCTATTTTTAGTTTGCACCTTGCTTATTTGTTTAGGGCTTACTTTCCTCAAATTTTTTTTTCAGATTTCTGTGATAGATTGTGTGTATTGGTTAAAGCACCAACATTAGAACTGATTTGAGATAATGTATCTCAAATTTTTGTATAAGCGAAAATTGCAATTTTCAGTCACTTCAGTGATTTGGACCAGAAGATTTGGAGTTCAAAAGGCAACTCTTTTAATTGAAACCATCTTTCATTCATCGTTTTGTAACTTCATAGAGGAAATGAGAGGTTTCAAAATTATTAGAAATGTGGAATTAATAAACTACTTTGCATATATTTTAATGGGAAATTGTACAGACTATACATTAATGCTGTATTTCAAATTAATAGAAGCAGTTTCTTAAAGTTGTTACAGGAAACATTTTACTTTGGGCCTGTCAAAATGGATACCTAATGAGTAAGACATGGTAGCAGTACTACATCTTGGTACTTCTGTAGAAATATTTTTACATATATTTTTTGATGTGAAATTATAAAAATTTTGTGGTGACATTTAAAATGCATGGACTTTTTTTTTCAGTACAAATGTGAATTTATAGGAACTATTAATATAAAACACAGAATTCAGAACTTCCTACATCTATAATGCTTGCCAAAGTATTCTTTTACCCCTCTTCATGCTAGGCAAATTCCACTTTTGCTCCTCTTCCCAAATAGCCTTTTGCATGCATAATACCTCTACTTGTTAATAATTTATTCACGTATTTCCTCATTTTGGTGATACAAATCCTTTAATTGTGTGAGAGGACACAGGTGGTGCAAGTGATAGGAAAGTGCTATTTCTTAAGTGAATGAGTTTCAGTAATAATACAGAGCATTGGAGGGGTTTAGGTTTCAGGGAGCCACTGCAGGTCATCTTGTCCAACTCCACACAACACCAAGCCAGTTCGGATGAGGTTGCTCAGAATTGTACCCAGTCAAGGTCTGAGCGTCTCCAGGAATGGAGATTCCACATCTCCTCCAGTTTTTTAATTCCACCTCTCATTTTCAGGTTATTTATCTGTTCCTTTCAGGTAGCCCATCTGTGCTTCCATCTTCTGTGTGTTTCTTTTTTTGTCCTTGCTGACCCTCTATATGACTTTACGTATCTCGAAGTGGACTGCTCTTGGGCTTTGAGGAAGTTGTCTGTGGAGATCATTCAGCTGTCCTGGGCGCCTTTGTCCTTCAGGACGCTCCTCCAGAGAATTCCATGAACAAGCTAAAGTTGCTTGTTTGAATTCCAGGGCTCTAATGCAATTATTTGTCTTCTTCACTTCTCCAAGGATCTGTTAAAATACCAGGTTTTAATTGTCAAGGCTGCAAATGACCTCCACGTTCCTGATACTTCCAAGTAGCAAATACTTCCAAGTAGCAGGTCCAGGGGAATGCCTCTGCTAGATAGTTCATCAGTAACCTGTGTCAAATAAAAAAACAAAGGTGTTTTTCAGAAATCTGGATTGCTTGTCCCCTGCAATATTGCCCACGCATGAGGTATCCAGGGCTAAGGGCCCCCATGGAAAACAGGGCCTCAATCAGGAGGCTTTCTCCGGTTGTGTTAAGAAGGCTTTATCTATTTCTGCTTTTAAATCATGTGGTCTGTAGCAGAGGCCCATCATGAAGTTGCCCTGTGCTTACTTGTCCTTTGATCCTTATAAGTAAGATCTCAACTTGCTTGTCACTGGTGTGCAAGCAAAGGTCCCGTGTTCAGGCTGCTCCTTTATATAGAGCCCAACTCTGTCTCCTTTCCTTCGTGGCTTCCAGAAGGCCCTATTTCTAGCTACAGCAAAACTCCATTCACATGAACTGTTCCACCACATCTCTGTGGTGAATAAACTTAAAGCTCTGCAAGTGTTCAAACTTCTTACTTCTCCTGTTTATTTCCATGCTGCATGTGTTGGTGCAGAAGTGTTTCAGCCATCTGTCATGCTTTCTTCTCAGTCAGCAGGCTTGAGGAGACACCAGCCTGTTTCCTTCCTTATCCCAGAGCCCTTCAGTTGCTAGAGAAGTCACAAAAGTTTCCAGCCTTCTCCATTTTGGAAGCACACCAAGGCAGTGTTTTGGGGGCCGTTTCTATGCAAACACCTGCATTGTCTGACAAGTCCCTTTTTATGTAACCCATACACAAGGGATAAAATCTTGAATTTAAATTAGTGTTTTAAGCTGTTTTTGTAAGATACTCTTACACTCTCATCTTTATCTTTTTGCCTGATGAATTTTATTATTTGCATCAGGGACTACTGGCCTTAGAGGGTGAGCTGACTCCTATCCTTGTTCAGATGGTAAAAAGTGCTAATATGAATGGTCTGTTGGACAGCGACAGTGATTCTTTAAGCAGCTGTCAGCATCGTGTTAAAGCAAGACTCCATGAAATTCTCCAGAGAGACAGAGAATTTACTGCTGATGACTACGATAAGGTTAGCACGTAATTAGTTTCCTGTGAAATGAAATAAATAGCCATGCAAATTCTTGGGTAAAAGTAATGAGCAGTGATTTTATGTATCTGTTTTGAAAAATCATTTGTGTGCTTGCAAATAGTTTGAACTACAAAGAAATGTGTACCAATTGCAATATTAGATATTTTGAGCTGTCTTGCAATTTGAGTAATCAGAATAGCTACAGACTTTGAAATAGGAGTAGACAGGGACCTCATTTGTAAATCTTTTTCACTGTTCCATTAAAAATATTTTAATTAGTTAATAAATGAAACTATATTGTTTACACTTTCTGTAATATTTACTTTGACAGCGTGTGGTAATACAAGATGTATTGCTTGCTTACTGCAGTTGTTTCAATATTCAATCTGCTACGAGGCCTTTTTTTTAACTCTTAAGAATACTAGAATGCTGAAAACCAGTAGAATACTTTCTAATCAGTGAAAGGAAGTGTATCATTAACATGCTAAATTAGTGCATATTAATATAGGTTGTGCTGACTTAGTACAGAGCACACATGATTGTTCCTGGTTTTAAATGTAAGTAATGTTTGTTACTCTTAGGAAACTTTTTTCTCTTTCAATTGCCCTTACTCTGATGTAGCAACTAAATACAAGTCCTCATATAAGGTTTAAGCTTAAACTGCTATTTGCTGAAAGGTAATGAGAGCAAATAATTGAAAAATAATTTTACCACCCTGCATGTATACTTTATGCGGATTTATTTAAATGCGTAGATTAAAAGTATCATCCAGTTGATTCAGCAGTACTTGGAAAAAGTGAGAGGGTAAAAGGTCTCAAGACTTTATTTATTTTCCCCCTTCTTCTTGCTATAGATATAATGGAATTTGAAAGGTGGCTGGAACTAATAGAGCACATCCTTCTGAAACCATCACTGAAAGTAACTAACCTTTGGTATTATAAAGTGATAATAACTTTTTTGGCAGTTTCTTTTTTTTTTTTTTTTTTTTTTTTTAACTTACAATTTGGGAAAACAATATGGGTTTTTCTTCTGTGCCAGAGCACCTTTCCTATTGATTTACTTGGTCATAATAAGGAGGTAGGAACTGCTTACTATTAGGTAAAGGGCAGAAGTTTTCCATACTCAAACTATCCTGTGCATTTGAGGAAAATGAGGAAAGTGCAAATATGTATGTGTGTTATATATATAAATTATTGTTAATATAATTGTTTGCTTACTTTCGATTATTCAGACTTTCCTGAAAGAATGAGACTAAGCCTCACTGACATGGATGTTGACTATATTGTTTTAGTGACACTCAAGTTGATATTGATAATTTGTAGCTTCTATAATCAAGTCAGCTCTGAAGGGCATCTTGTATGTTCTTGATATATATGCATTAAAAGGGTTTCTTTTTGTTTGTGTTTGTGTGCTGCAGTCCTATAGAAAAAAAGACCTAAAACAGGAAGAGACAAACTTTTTTTCATGTATCAGTTACTATTGCAAATCTGGTTCTTCCTCCCATTTACGCTAAGTAGGGTACTTCGTAGAAGAAAAATATTTTGTGAGGCACGTAGCCTAACTATAACATTTCTTACAGAATTTTTGTAAGCTTTTGAATACAATAGTTACTTAAAAGGAAGTTATGGAAAGTTGCTAAGTATGTACAAAGATTTAAATTTCTTTTCAATTTTCCTGTCTTGGAACAAAAAAAGTTTTAGGAACTCCTGAAACTGATCATGTTTACTTTATAGAATAAGCCGCTCTGTGAATTTCTTGTCACCTTTGAATCACTAGTAAATCTTACTACTTTTTGATATATTTCATTTCTTAATGCTTCAAAGGTAGTATATATTGAGAAATGGTTTCAAAAAGTAATAGCAACCTGCTTGAATGCTTTTTCTACAATACTTGGAATCTTTCATTTGTTCTGTCTTATCTCCCTGTTCTTTCAAATCTAGTCAGTTTGTTTAGATAATTTTGTGTTTATCTCAAATTGCAGCTTACTCCATCTGGAAGCATCTCATTGATAAAATCAATGCAGGTTATTAAAAATCCTGTAAAGACATGTGACAAGGTCTATTCCTTGATCCAGAGCTTGACTTCTCAGATCAGGCAAAGAATGGAAGATCCAAAGTCTGCAGGTACATTTTTGTCCTTTTATTTAGTTTTCTCTTGTTTATATTTCAAATAGAATTGTAACATAACTTTTCTTTATTAAACTCACTTTTAGCAGAACTTTAATCAACAATGGGTTAGGGATTTTCACAGTCTGATTCCATATGCATTATTTTAGAGTAAAAAGAGGATGAACACGCGGTCATATTCTATGTAAGGGCTCTTCGTGGTGTTAAGAAGTTCAGACTAGTCCTGAACATGCAAGAGAGAGAGAGAAATAGGGTCTGTGTTCTCTTCTAAAACAGAGATGTTGTCCTGTTCCTCTTCCTCGCTCCTAGAATTTTCATAAAATCCTAGCATGGTTTGGGTTGGAAGGGACCTTAAAGGTCGTGCAGTCCAACCCTTCTGCAGTAAGCAGGGACATCTTAAACTAGATCAGGTTGCTCAGAGCCCCATCCAGCCTGACCTTTAATGTGTCCAGGGATGGGGCTTCTACCACCTCTCTGGGCAACCTGTTCCAGTATTTCACCACCTTAATTGTAAAAAATTTCTTCCTTATAGCTAGTCTAGATCTACCCTCCTTTAGTTTAAAACCATTACCACTCATCCTATCACTACAGGCCCTGCTAAAAAGTTTGTCCCCATCTTTCTTATAGGCCCCTTTCAAGTATTGAAAGGGCACTATAAGGCCTCCCTGGAGCCTTCTTTTCTTCAGGCTGAACAACCTCTCAGCCTTTCTTCGTAGGAAAGGTGCTCCAACCCTCTGATAATTTTCATGGCCCTCCTCTGGACCCACTCCCAACTGGTTCATGTCTTTCTTGTGCTGAGGACCCCAGAGCTGGTTGCAGTGCTCCAGGTGGGGTCTCACAAGAGTGGAGCAGAGAGGCAAAATCACCTACCCCAACGTGCTGGCCACGCTTCTTTTGATGCAGCCCAGGATACAGTTGGACTTCTGGGCTGCAAGCGCACATTGCTGGATCGTATTCAGTTTTTCATCCACCAATATCCCAAAGTCCTTCTCCACACAGCTGCTTTCAATCCCTTAATCCTCCAGCCTATACTGATACTGGGGATTGCCCCAACCCAGGTGCAGGACCTTGCGCTTGGCCTTGTTGAACCGCATGAAGTTTTCTTCCAGTTTTTTTGGTTGCTTTTTTTGATATATGGTATGTGCTATAGGACAGTTTAGTCTTGGTGCTGTAGCTTTTTGTAAAGGGCCAGTGGTGCATTTTTGCAGCAGAGCTTTCTATTATCTTGATGTAGCTATGTAGCTGTGATACTTTCAGCAGTAAAAGTAACCATATGATCACCTATTCCCTCTTAGAAGTAATACAGTTAACTTATTTGATCCCTTTTATCCCTCTGTTATTCAACTGTTACTAGCATGTAATTAATATTTCCCTTTTTATTACTTGGATGGTCTTGATTACTTACATGATGTATGTGTCTATCCAGATATTCAGCTGTACCACAGTGAAACACTAGAACTGATGTTGCGCAGGTGGGCTAAGCTGGAAAAAGACTTTAAAACAAAAAATGGAAGATATGATATTAGCAAAATTCCTGATATTTATGACTGTATAAAATATGATGTGCAGCACAATGGCTCCTTAAAATTAGAAAACACAATGGAATTATACAGGCTTTCGAAGGCTTTAGCTGACATTGTGATCCCTCAGGTAAGGATTTTCAGTTACTAAATAGAATAAATAGTGGAGTAAATGCTTTTTCAAACTTCATGAAAAGGTCTACTCTGTCTTTTCCATTGAAGGTTCATGTATTTTACATTGACAGAAGACTTTAATGTTACGTTTTATTTTCCAGTAGTAAGCTCATTACTTTTTGTAAGAAAATTTTGATTCATAATTCATTAAGATGTGTTTAAAGTGGATTTTTCTAGCAATTTTTCTAGCAGATACTGTGTATTCTGAAATTGCATTAAATTTAATTCTTCCTGCTTTTAGAAATCTCATGTTCAAGCAAATTACACTGTTAATCCTAATCTAGCTAATTTCACTTGTTTTAAGCAATTTAAATTTGAAAGACCTTTCTGCTGCTTTAAAATGCTAGCATTCCCTGATAAAAGTGTACACATTAAGTTTCATAGAATTTCAGGCCAGAAGCAGACAAGTTAATCTTCCGTACATTACAGGCTACTCAGGTTAACTCTAAAATATTGTAGGCTTCAGGACATTAAATTGTTTTGTGATAACAGGACAGAACAGACTAAAGCTTTCCTCAAGTGTCCCTGCAGTTACAGAGCACTGTTGCAAGAGAGGTGTTATCCACATTGTATGCAGCAAGTGAGGGAATTTCTTCCTCTCCCCATTTCTTAAACTCTCTGACAGCAAGGAGGACAGAAGGAGCAATGGTACTAAGTATGTGTTGTGTTATGTGGGCCAGTTAAGCTTAGATTTTGAATAGAGTGTTAGGGAAGAGTAGGTAAAAATGAGGACACATGCTGAAGAAAAGAAAACAAAGAAAACTTGATAAACCTACATAATGCAGAGTGCTCATGTGGCTTTCTAGGGTAGCCAGAAGATCCATCATAATGATGAGAGCACCTTTCTATCAAGTGCACCGCAGAGCATGAAGCTTCAGGAAGATGAGATTTTAAAATATTGTAGATACTATAACAGATATAATATTTTCCAGTTGTATTTAACTACCATTTTTAGTATTATTTGAGGTGAATAGGAGATCTTCTAGGAGGTAGTTTACCCCAAACTAAGATAGATACATTAAATAGGTAATGTGCCTATGTCACTTTACTGACTGTTTAAAAAAAAAAAAAAGTTACTTGGAATCAGGTGAGATTAAATGCATCATAGATGTCTGGGGTGGAGGAATAATTTCCTAGATGTTTTGCTTAAGAAAAGGAGCTTCATCATACCAGAATGTGAATCCACTTTTGTGTTTTAACTAGTGAATGAAAAAATGTTTCTTTATGTGCAATCAAACAGCAAAAAGGCAAACCCCGTGTTACTTGAAGGTGTGTCAGTAATCAAGTGTAGTAAAAATGTTAAACAAAACAGTTTGCAGCCAGAGCAAACTAACAGATGACTAATTGTCTTTAGTATGCATGCTTTGAATTAGAAGCATTTTAATCTTTAACTGAATTTTAAAAGTCATTTTACTCTTACGCAGGAGTATGGTATTTCTAAGGCTGAGAAATTAGAGATTGCCAAAGGTTACTGCACTCCTCTAGTTAGAAAAATCCGTTCTGACCTTCAGAGAACTCAAGATGATGATACTGTAAATAAGCTTCATCCTCTGTAAGTCTCTTACTTTTTTACATGGTTACATTAATTTTGATAAGACTTAACGGGAATATTCCTTAGCCTTGTTACTCAAAATGTCTTACTAGCTCATAATAATTTGAAAAGTATGATTTTTTTATTTGTTGACAGCTATTTCTAAAATTGAGACACATCTCATTATGATCTGATAAGATTTATTTTTCTTTCAAGTTACTCCAGGGGTGTTATGTCCCCTGAACGCCATGTTCGTACACGGCTGTATTTCACCAGTGAGAGTCATGTCCACTCCCTGTTATCCACCCTTCGTTATGGTGCCTTATGTGATGTAAGTTGAATACTTTTTTTCTTAAAGCTGTGATGTTTTGAGAGGAACTAAAAGAACTCAATCTTACTAAAATTGTATCAATTGAAAGCCTAATTTTCTTAAGTGGCTTTGAAATTTATCACACTTTTTCAAAAATTTGCATTCCTATTATATATACAGAGACATACTTTAGATTGCTAATGTACACAGTGGTGGAAATCAGCATGCCCTTTAAAGGACTGCTGAGTTCCATTAGTGTGTTCAGCTGTATATGTTATGGTCTCAAAGAGATTTCAAAAAGGCAGATAATCCATTTCTTTGTCTTATGTTGTCACTTGTAATTCTTCCAATTCTTTTTCCTTCAAGTTACCATTCAGGGTTCTCTTGAATTAACTTTTGGACTGGCTTATTTTTTTTGACCGTTGGCATATTGTCAAGACCTCCCTACCTGACTTCAGGAGTGCTCATGTAGGGCAAAGTTTCTCCTGTTCAGTAGATTGTCTTACTTTCCTATACTGTCATAGAATAACTTAAAGGTGGTGCATTAGTCTCCATCTGGTTGGCTTTGAAACCAAGGACTTAAAAAAGACAAGATCTCTAGATTCAGAAATGATGTAACTGAGCTCTTGGAGTGAATAAATGCAGCACCACAAAGCCTACATCGCTGCTTCTAAGATAGAGCTTGATTAATATATTCATTTTTGAATCGGTTGTTTTGACATATTTGCTTCTGGTAGTGGATGACTAAACTCACTGATGGCAAAATTTTTAATCCTAGACCTGTATGACATATGCTACAGCAGCTACACTCCTAGTTTTAGGCAGATAAACTTATAGGTTTCCTTTAAGGTGAATTACTAAATTTTTTTTTCTAGAGCGTGAAAAAATTTTAATATTTTATCTTAAATAGTTTGGGAGGTGATGGTTATTTTTACTGTATATACTAGAAGGCTTCATTTACTCTGTCTGACATGTAGAATGCTGTCTAGAAACATTTTCCACAATATGCTAGTTGAAATGAGTTTATTGCAAAATTATTCCCATCCAGAAATGCAGTGCCTCTGTCTACAAGCCATATTGATGAAAGAACATGAAAGATACTCTACAATTTGATATGAAAAATTCTGATCTCCCCTTTCTATTCATTTGATGAGTAATTTTAAGTCACTTTTTTTTCCTGGTTGTATTTTTTTTTCCTTAGCTGTGAAAATCTTCGTACTTCTGCTGTGAATGTAAAATCCATGTAAATGGGGAAAAAGTGAAATTATCAGTCTTTTTAAAGAAAACAGCTGTTTATTGTGTATTGATTATTTTTTCCTCCTTCATAAGGAATCAAAAGATGAACAATGGAAACGAGCTATGGATTACTTAAATGTTGTCAATGAACTCAATTACATGACACAAATTGTTATCATGCTTTATGAAGATCCAAACAAGGTATTTAAAATGGATAAATATATTCAGAAACGAGTAGTGCTAAGCTATGTACTAAAATGTAAACCTATTTAATAATTTTTCTTCAGGAACTTTCTTCGGAAGAACGTTTTCATGTAGAGCTGCACTTCAGTCCAGGAGCCAAAGGCTGTGAGGAAGATAAAAATTTACCAGCTGGATATGGATACAGACCTGCTTCCAGAGAGGTGGTAATTATGCTTTTTTTTAAAGCAAAAGTTTTTTTTTTTTTGGATGTAGACTTACCTAAAATAAACAGTGGGAAATTGTTAAGTAAAAAATACAGGTGTGATTTTTCTTTTGGTAGAAAAATATCTAGCAAAATATAGGCAGTCTCAATGTGTTACTCAGTTTTGAATGGCCACTGAGGTAATCGGCACAGGTAATTTGGACCTTCTATGGCTTTGCCAGAATTTTTTCTAGAAATATTAAATACTCATTGTAAGAAAAGTGGTATCAAAATCACATCAATTATATTCTGGCAACTGAAAGAAATATTTAAGAAAGTAAGGTAGTTTGGCATGTTTATGAATACAGACTGTTGAGGAAGGATTGATATTTTCAAAGACTTATGGGCAGGTCTGTGGATTTACCACCTGCTTTTTGAGAAATGAATGAAAGCAAAGCCTGGCTGGAATTCTTCAACTGACTTGTGGAGCCAGGATTTTATTACTATGTCAACAGAAAATTGGAGCCAGATATGTTGGCTGAACAGTGTGGTTAACTATGACAACACTATCATATGCAGTGGCTGGTTAGGAGCAAATACACATAGATTATTAGAGTCTAGAGCAATTTGTTCAATAATATGTAATTTACATCTTGTATTTTTAAAATAGGCTTGCTTTATGCAGAAGATTTATTTAACAGCCACATGTCTACATGTTGAATGATGTGAAGCTAAACTGAAAATGTATTATGTATTGTTTGCAGAATGAAGGCTCGAAGAAAACCTCTCATAGAAATGATAGTGATGAGGAGGCACATACTTCTAAAAGAGATGAAACAGACCGGTCAGTAATGATGTTCAAGCCAATGGTATCGGACCCAATTCACATACACAGAAAGTCACCCCTTCCAAGATCCAGGAAGATTGGTTCTGTTGAAGTAAGTGTTTATGTTCCAGATACTGTCTTTCACAGCAATGAACTTTTGCTTACTTTTAACAAAACAAAAACGAATGTAATTCTGCTTTTGATTACCCAGAACCAGTATGATGCTGTATCTCACAACAGGGTTGCTCTTATTCTGTGGGAAATCCTTCATGGCGGTAATTTGTCTGAAGGAATTTTTTTTTTTTTTTTAATTATTATTATTTTACGATAAGACTTAGTTCCTTTTTTCTTTTTAGGCCATTTTAGAAAAGCGATATTTGAAAAGGATGGGTTTTTTCAGTCTAAACCTATATCTCCAAACTAACATACATTGCTTTCGTATTCATCTTCACAAGACAGCTGCTACTGGGAATTAAGCAAACTTTCAGGGTGGTCATGCTGAGAGGGAATGGAGGGATTGGGGGTGGTAAGGGAGGTACAGGAGGTGAGAGACATGTCTTCTGCTGTATTTACTTTCACGTGGGGTGAAAGTGACTCCACTTGTCAAGCATTTGAAGGTAAGAGAATAAACTGGAAAGTTGTTTGGTTTTTTTTAAGTGGGTGGGGGTTGTGTTTAACAAATTCTCTATTAAACTATTAAACATCTTGAAGAGTCTAGTCTCCTGTCTTGAAGGCCGTGACATCTAGGTGTGCTTCACAGATATGGCTTTAATGTCACAGAGGTGGAGATGCATGGTGGTGTCACTGATATCATTTGTACAGTTGAGTGGCAAAGCTTCAGATGGTGCACTTCTGTGATATTAATGCTAGAAGCAGACTTACAGCTTCTTATTGCCTCATTTTCAGTTGCTTAAAACCATCAGGAATGAAGATTCACACCAAAAGCTTTTTCTTTCATATTTGTGTTGGGAATGGACTGTTTGTATGCAATGAAAGTCTTACAGATTTGCAAGTAACTTGGTTGTTGGTAGTGTGGAGGGAAAAAGATGCATGGTTCCTTTCTATACGGATATCTGTATAACTTCACATGACTTCCATAAATTAACAGAGGTAATAAATGTGAATGTCTTGCATTTTCTATTTCCAAGTTTTATCATAAACAAATGCTCACAACATCAGTATTCTGTATTTTTAAAAGCTGTTTTCACTATGATCATGCAAACTCCCCTCCTAGTTATGAGTTCACGGACACACACGATAGTCAAACTTTTAAACATTTGCATTTTCATAAATAATGTATAAGTTAACTTCAAAAGGTATCAATAACATAAATTGCTAAATTTTGACTGTGCAGATAATATATATTTATATGGAATGTGTTTCAGCATTCAGTGCTTGTTTATTTGCTGGAAGAAAATAGGTGATTTAAAGAAAACATACACTATGAAACTTTTTTGAAAAAGTAAAACTAGAAGTTTCATCTGGCCTACTGAAATCTGCAAAACCAGTATTTGGAATATTTAAACCAAATGGTATTTTCAGTTGTTTAAAAGAAGTCATTGCAACTTAAACTGCAACTGCCTTGAACCCTTCCCCCCCCCCCCCCCCCCCTCCCCCCATAAGGCAATTCTCTTTTCACCTATGTCCGTTAATTGAAAGGACAGTGTCAGGTGTGAGATGATATGGAAGTTTTTGATCTGGGGTATAGTCGGCAATATTTACAAAAGGATTGCAACTGTGATTCAGTCATAAAAATTTTTAAAAAGCTGAGTTCTGATAGTGAGAAAGCAAGGCTCATCGGCATTGGAAATCAAATTCTATATTGCTAAAAATTGTTGATTACTAATGATACATAATGATGTAGGGTATGGAGGACTTTTAGCCTGACACTGTCCTCCCTTGAAGTCTTAATAGGTGTGCAGCATCAGAGAATTTTTAGGGCTTTTATAAGGTTGGAAATCTACCAGTGAGGTTGGTGCTGCTACCATTGACTCAACTGTAAAGTCTCAAAAGCGATTCTAAAAATGAAACTCTTTTAGATGAGGTTATAGACTAGAAATTAAAACTATTAAATAATAAATAGGCAAGTGTAATGTACTTAGAGGGGGAAAACTATTAAACAGTATGTCAAGGATAACAGATGTTCTGTTTCCAGTATGTGGGAAATTCTTAAAATTATGAATTAATTATTGATAACAATTACTTTTCTTTCATATCTAATAATTAGTCTACCAGAATTTTTATTAAAATGATGTATTAAAAGATAGAATTTGATTAGAACATATAAGTGGAACTGATAACTTCCTATTATTGTAATATCACTCTTCACTGTTTGCTGTTTAATAGTTTTCAAAGTAGTATATAAAAGGGTGCAAGCAGATTGGTTTTTTTTCTTTTCTGTTCATTTGGCTCTGTTGAATCTAACTTTGCATGCTTTGCTGTTTTTTGCCCCCTTTCTCACTTCCAGGAAGAGAGCCCCCTGAGTGTGTCTAGCCCAGAGTGTATTGGTACCTGGCTGCATTACACCAGTGGTGTGGGTACTGGGCGTCGAAGACGCAGATCAGGGGAACAAATCACTTCTTCCCCTGTCTCCCCTAAATCATTGGCTTTCACATCCAGTATTTTTGGCTCATGGCAACAGGTTTTTAAACTTTACTTCATTAAACATTATTATGCATTCCAAGCAACAACCAACTGTCTTTAAGGACATCTAATCCCTTGTTATGGATTATATTTGAAGCAAATTCTTCCACTTCTTAAAGTTACTTCCCGAGAATGTTTGGGGGTAAAAGAGCAAGTGCATGTTTTTCTACTGAATGTGTTACATGTTTTCCTAAAAAATTGATTTCTTTATAGGAATTGTAAATGTTACCACAGTAAAAAAAGACTTAGTCTACTGCCTTATGAAACAAATTTCTCCTTTGGTTTAGTTGTCCTTTAAGACTTTAAAAACAGCATTGCTTAATTTGGTGGTAGGTAAATTGAAAAACTTTTTTTTAATAATTGCAACCAATACCATTTAAAATAATTTATTTGGTACTTCATATTGCTATTCAAAACTTGTTTTGCATATATCATATTTTCAGTGGCCTGGTATTAACTATTGCAGGGAACAAACTCTAGCACTAATAATTCTTGCCGTCTGTATTGGAGGTATCTGAAACTCCCAACACAGGACATCATCCATTGCCTTTTACAATATTTTTAAGATTTTCCTAAATATTGGGGGGGGAAGGAAGGAAAAAAAGCAACTATATTTTTTGAAGTACCAATGGAGATCTAAAGATTGTTTAGTATGTCAAGATATTGTTTACATATATGACAATGGATGGTGTTCTGTTAACCATATATATCCTTTTTCTTTGAAAATTTTCATAATTTCTTTTTTATTGTGGAAAATTCTAAAACTATTTACATAGGAAAAGTTTGTATCAATAAAGGCTGTGAGCATCTGAAGATTACACTGAATGAGCCCGTGCATGGATCATTGATTGTATGGTGTCTTCAATAGCTTGTCTGTCTTTCCTTCCCTCCCCTCCTTTTTTCAATACAGGCGCAGTTTAGGAGAGTGTATTTGGTAAAATGAAATAAAATGTCTCAAATGTCTGTTCTCATACTGTCTTGGTCTGTGTTCTTTCTCATTCTGAATGCTTGCTTTGCACTACTTCATTGCAAGGAACTCATGTGTGAAATGGACTCCCTTCAGAAGGGGATATTGCATGATCTTTCATGTTTCCTTTACATATTTTTACTAACACTTATCATACAGCTTATTAACACTTGTCTGTCTGAAACAGGCTGCTGTATCAAGTTAAATGGATGTTTCATGCTGCTGTTCTACTTTCCCTTATTTTTCTGTTTTTTATATCCAGGTCCTATCAGAAAGCAATAGTAACTTACGTACACCAAGAACTATTCTGGAACAAAAGCAGAGTGGTCTAGGTATGTGCCTACAATTGAAATTTTGTTTGACGTTAGCAGCTTTTCATCTGCCCGTCCTTCTGTGTAGTTGTACATTCCTTGAATAGTTTTTATGTTAATAGGACCCAGTAGTACTTGTTATGAATAATATATGCTGAGTGTCTGCCTATGAACCAGACAGTTTTTCTGCAGGAGAAGTTTTTAAATAAATTTTAACTGAAAAGAGCAAATTATTTGAGACTGTTCACACTATTGACTCTGTACTGCTCACAACAGGTACACAGGACTATTTTGAACATAAAGTAGATTTTTAAGATAATGTAGTTAATGACTGAGTTTTTTGGGTTCTGCAAGAATCTTCAAGGCCAGGTTGGACGAGACTTTGAGCAACCTGGTCTAGTGGAAGGTGTCCTTGCTCATGGCAGGGGGGTTGGAACTAGATGATCCCTTCCAGCCCTAACCATTCTATGAATCTTTTGTATGGAAATGGCCAGCACTGGAAAATGTTAAAACACTTTTGAAAATTAACTTTTCCTACTGTGGGCAGTTGATGGAACTGATGGTATTTTACTGGGGGGGAGGAGGAGGAGGAGGGGTACAAACCTAAAGTTTCTTGATAATATGGGGGGTTTTGCACACATTCCTTCTTCTAAAATCAGTTTCTTCCTTTCAGCATTAGAATGTACCATGCTCTAATTCAATGAGTTGTTTCAAATTCTTTTAATTCAAGTGATGCCTTTCTCTTGCTTCTTTGAAACAGGCATACATATGACTGATATGTAAAAATATGAAATCTTGCACTACTGTAAATTAATACTACTTTTTTTTTCTATAAGTGTGTCTTTTCCTGGGAAAAATGAAGTGTAGGAAATGTATAAGCTATATGCATAAACTTAGAAAGTTCTTTTCTTTATAGAGATCTGTAATTTTTGTATGTCTAATCTTTCTGTGATACATTTCTACCTATTATATTGTTCCCTTAGTAAAATGCATACATCAGGTGCTCTTGTTTGTCAAAAGTCATGTTTTTTATTGTGTGCTTGCTAAAGTTAAAAAACTTTTCTCTTACCAATGTGTGACACAACATGGCTCATGGAAGCTGATGTATTTCTGTGCGTAGATTAAGGTATTACATTTGGTTTGAAAGGCTTTTGCCACAGACCAGGCACCAATTAATTTTGGCTGTGATTGGTTACATGTGCTAGTAATGTTTCCCCTCACTGGGTCATTAAAAGTAATGAAAGGAAGTATCACTGGTTAGATAGTTGCTTTTCCAAAAAAACTGCTGCTATTTATCTAAAACCACTTCTTTCAACTAGTAGTAAAAACCAAGGGAAAAAAATTGCAACATTTTTTCCATTTTGTTCATTGTTGTATGTAAATTTCATTTATGGTTGATGATTATAAGTTATTTTTATATTTCTGTCTGTGGCTTTCAGTGATTTGTTAAAACTCTCATCTTGGTGGCAGGAATGCATGAGTTGTAAAAACAGTGCTCTCACTTTCATGGAAATGTGCAGATGTCTTCTTAGGAAAGGAAGTCAAGCTAAACTTGATGGAGCTTTTAGTTATTTAAAATTTTTAACAATGTTGGTAGCTGAAATATGAATAGAGTATTTCCAATATGGTTAACATTTTATTGGCGTTAGAAGGGAAGTATTTCCATATTAAGTCTGTGGAAGTGCATGAGTACTTCATTGCAGCCTGTCATCTCAAAGCTTGATTTGAATGAAAGCAATGAGCAGTATTTTTCCAGTTTATGTTTGTTTCAGAATTGCAGGTTTTAAAACACAAAACTTTCACATCATCACCATCATCTTGGTTTTGTTTTATTGTTTTTGGTTATGTTTACATTGATGCTAACTGGTAACTTTTCTTTATCAAAAGTGAAAACAGGACAAGAACTCACTTTATTAAAGCCAGTCCTCTGTTTGCACATATATCAGAGGGTGCTGTGTCATGAGTAGAAGCACAATAAATTATGATAGTTTTCAGCCTACAAGTACCACTCTGACATTACAAGCATATTGTGAACCTGTCCAAGGCACTGCCAAAAGCTGCCTTTTGTGTGGTAAGAGCCATGTGCTTGCATGCTGCATGCATCCCCAATGTGAATGGACGAACACCTGGTTGTTGTATGTATTTTCTCTAACTCCCATCAGGGTCTCACTGTGCGGGCCTGTTTAGCACCTCAGTGCTCGGGGGTTCTTCAAGTGCACCTAACCTACAGGATTATGCTCGTACTCATCGTAAAAAGCTGACTCCTGGCTTCATAGATGGTATGTGCACACTCTAGCACATGCACGCACAAACCCATGTGGCACATTAGACTTCTAAAGATAAATCCTAGGTTACTGATTTTAATGGAATCCTAGAATGCTTTGCCTTAGTATTAATTAAATGAGTTTCTATTGCTTCTTTATTGCCCTTAGCTTGTTTATTTTTAACTTAACACCCTAGTTAATTCTTGTTTCTGTCTTGAACTAGCTCACAGACTTGTAATACATGCCAGGAGATTCCAGCAAGTGAACTTTTAAAGTAAACCAAGATTTTATGTTTGAAATTATTTTCTCATTTTAAACTTCAGGTTTGAAAAATAAATTACTTGGAGCATATACATGGAATGAAAAAATTATAAACTAATAAATACTGATGGTGAAAATTTTAGGATTCCTGACCTTTTCTCAGTGGGGTTTGGATTACAAAGGAGGAGGAGATTAAATTTCAGTTTTGGATAATTGGGGATAGAGAAGAAACTCTCACTAGATTTAAAAATTTAAAGATGCCAAAGCACACCTTTATAAATCTGAGGTGAAACAGTATTCATGCTGTTTTCCCCGCAATTCACTACTCAGTGTTCAACTCTAACTTGATATAACCTTGTATGCCAGAATCACCAGCTCATTCTGCTTGTTATCATACACTTCATTACACATCTTGTAGTTACAAACAATCCAAATTTTCTTCTTTTTAACCTCTATTTAGATTTTAGCCCCTTTCCTTGGTCCGTTCTGCATGCCACTCAGTTCTAATGCCTTCTCATCTTTTCTTTTTTTCTTTCTTCTTCCTTTCCTTTTTTAAAATGTCCCTCTTTTGGTAGCTGTTACAAATTTCAGGTACCTGTTTTTCTCTTTCTCAGACACCACACGCGGTTCTGCTGTTAAAAGGTTTTCTATCTCATTTGCTCGACACCCAACCAATGGTACGTTTTGCTTTTATTTTAAAAACAAAAACAAAAGGTTCCTTGCTTCATCCCTTTTATTTTTATTTCAAATATGGGGTGTATACTATCATCCAGCCGTCTGTCGTTCCTAACTTTAAGCACAACTCCAAATATATTTGTAATCATTAGAGATCCTAAATCCCTTTTTTACCATTCATTAGTATAAATACAACATCAAAATTCATTTCTTAGAAAAATCATTGAAAAAAATTGAAGTGCTACTGGTAATCATGATCTCTGTAATAAATCATTCTCCCCAGTTTCTTTTGTGATCAGACTGTATGGTACAAGATAAAAACAGAATTAAATCTGATCTTTATTGGGCATACACTTCTTGATAGCAGCTGCTTCTTCTTTGTCTTTCTCCCACTGAGCTGTTTCCCTGAGCCTCCTGATTCTATAATAAATCACTGAATTGACAACTGGAGTTTATGGCTATCTTCTTGAAGTGATGCTAAATCAAAAAACTAAAGCAGAACCTTTGGTTCCATTCATGCTAAACTGCTATATTTATCATCAGACAAAAATTTATTTTACCTTATCATACTTCTCTGTTCATCAGATGTGCAAATTACTTAAATATTGCACTAAAAATCACAGCAAGAGAGCTGCCTGTTGCTTGCATTGACCTCTTCAGCTTAAAGAGTGAGAGTTTATTTGTCTTCAGTCTGCCATAGTTAGAAAAAAAAGTCTGATTTAACAAACAGGACAGAGGTATGTCTTTCTCTTCCTCGGCAAAATACTTCGTGCCTACCTTTCTACATGATTAAATAGGTCTAAAATGTATCCTGTTCATGAAAACCAGACTCAGTCTTCAGCATCCACTGGATCTTAATGTAGCTTTTCCACATTTCTTAATTGCAATTTTAAAATGTGCAGTGACTGCTGGCTGAGTACAGTGATGGTGATATTGAAATTGCAGTGGAAATGATCAGCATTTATGTGTTGGATTCAGAATGTATTTGCTTAGAAAGAAGGTTAAAAAAAAAAGCCTGACTTTTTGTTTGGCTTTGCTGAGAAGCAAAGTAGTCCTTTATTATATTCATTTGGAATCCACAGTGACTTTCTGCACTGTAGTGTTTCTTGAAGGGAAAACTGCTATAGTAAGGCCAAATTAATACCATTAAGACTGTGTGTGATCTAAAAGGCCAATTCTAGTGTCCTATTTCAAATAGGAAAGTTAGGAGTCCATATTTTATCTTTAGACTCAAACCAAATATTTCCACAACATAAAAGGTCAGAAAGTAAGAACTACTTTTGAGTATGAGGGTCTAATGATACAATTACTTTCTGTTCCATTTAGCACTATCTTTTTGTGACTGCATTCTTTAAAAAGTAATCTAAATTGCTTTCAATGAATGCATTGATTGTTCTGATTCATTTAATACAGCAGTTTTACCACACATCTTTTACAAGATAAATGCATGCTGTGTGAGCTCCTATGAAACCTAAGTATATTGCAGGTTTCCGAGGGTTCTCTACTAACATAAGAACACATTGATGTTGTTTTGTCTATCATTTTGATTCCTCTTCTCCCTTTCACTCTGTTTCTTCTTATTTTTATGTTGTTATCACACCCTCTTAACTCATTTCAGACTACCCCCCCATCTTTAGTTCAAGGAACATGGTGAAACAAGTATCTTCTGACAGTGCTTTACCTTATTTTCTGGGCCTCTGTGCAGAACACCCACACCTCTTTAGGTGCTGGTCCATTTCCTCTGTGGAATTTCTAGGCTCCAGTGGTATGTCTCTATAGCTTTTAAATGTAAGACAGCAGGGTGGCTTTTTGAGCTGCTGCGTTAACCCTTTCATTGTCTTGCCTTTTGATGGGGACAGTGCTTTAAGAATAAATGTAGCCAAAACTCAAAGGCTGTTAGTTTATATTAAATTGATTTTTTGAAGGGATACTGTCAGGCTTCTTCATCATTAAAATTCAGATTTATTTCTCACAACATAATAAAATATTTATTATTAAAAATTCAAATAAAACACCACAGATAGATTTACAGGGTATCTTTTAAGTCATATCACTTAGACACAAAGATACGACAACAGCATGCTGGGATATGGCTATTGGGCAGCAGAATTGTCAAAACAGAACAAAAACCTGTGCAGGGGAAATTCCTGAAAGAATAAAACTTTTTTTCATCTCTTTTTTTGAAGGCCATGGGTGTGTTTTGAAATTCCTTTCTGGTTTTCGGTAACACTACACTGTAACAGTGATAGTTATTAAAAACCTGACATTGTCCCACTATGTTCTTTGCAAAATTAAAAAAAAAAAAATCTTATTCAAGTGATAGTGACTTTTCCGTCAGGGTAAAGAGATAAATCTTCTATTTTACTGTAATGCAAAGAAAGGGTTTGCGCTTTGCATGCATGCATAGTTATTTAGGATATTAATATGTATGCCAAACTTCTTAGTGCTTAGACTGAAGCTTAGCTACTGCCTTTATAGGAAACTAGAAATTAAATATGTGGTGGTGTTTCTTTTGTACATGAAAACCAAGTTTCTGTGAAATGCTAAATTTTATTTTAATATAAGTGAAGCTAATATAAGTACACTACAATTGAGTGTATATTTGAAGCAACTGTCCCTCAGATTTGAGTATGGCCAAGGTGGATCCAAATAGAAATAAAGACATTTGGGCGTTGAAATTCTGTTGAATTACTTCTCTATGCAAAGTACTAAATGGGGAGTGAATGGGGGACACTGGATATCACAGGAATATTTATTCTTTTTATTTTATGGAAGGGAACAGTTCACAGTCATAATGCTATCTCTAATAATGTACCTTGAACTGAAATTCTAAACATTATTTCATTCACTATTGTTTCTTCATTTAAATATCTTAAAAGAAATGTAGCAACTGTAAATTTAAAATATTGAATTTGAAGTTATAATATTACAGCTGTATGTTGAAAACATTAATGGACATATTTTCCTCTTCTGAAATGCAATTGGATGAAGAGCTGTTCATTGAGTTATCAAACCTGCATCACTTTAGAGAACTGCAATTTTTTTTTTGCAAGATGTTTAAATGCTTTTTAGTATGTTAGTAATATGGATATGCATGGTTGGTGTATGATCAATACTAATGTAGAAAAGCAAAGTCCAATGATTTTTAGATTTTGGGTTGCTATACTTACCTGTTCTAATATATGAAACTTATAGTCTTCTAAGTACTGTTTTTAAATGCATAAAGGTAGGTGTAAATCTGTCTTACAAAGTTAAAACATGTAACCTCAAGGTGCAAAGCTGCTAACAGTGGTTTTCCTTTGATATTTAAGGCAACATTTTTTTTTTTCACAGAATACTGAAGATGATAGAACGTGAATTCTGGAAGTTTATTTCTTGGAAGTTGTAGCATTTTTAGCTCTTGTATGTTAACAATTGACAACACAGCTATCCTATTTAACTTGCATGAATGAGCTATCTATTTAGTGTTGTTCCAGGTATGAGAATGAGTAGGAGAAATACTACGATTTCCTGACTATTTGTTTTTAGGATTTACTAAGTTTGTCTTAGAGGAAAGTTTTCTTTTATTAACTGATTTGTGAGCAGAGCACAGTTGAAATGTTTGAGGACCACTTTACATGTACACGGGATTTGTATCCCGTAGTATGTTACATGGTACCTTTAGTTTAGTACACCCTGGAAACTGGCATATCTTGTTCCAACTCCTATAACATTTAGGGACCATGATTTCAAGAGTACTATGTCTGCATGTGCTGATTTAAAATAAGATCATGCCTTAATAGTTGCCCATGCAATAGCTTAAATCCTGTCTTATGTTTGGAAATCTCTTTTTTTTTAATTATTTTTCTTTCAGGTTTTGAACTATATTCCATGGTGCCTTCTATCTGCCCTTTGGAAACTCTACACAACTCCTTGTCTCTGAAGCAGGTGGATGAATTTCTTGCCTCTGTTGCTGCTCCATCAAGGGAGAATCTACAGGAGACATGTACTGATTTTAGTTTTTAATTATGTTCATTTTAAATGGTCAAATATTGTCTAGTTAAACTTTCTGGTATTTTACAGCTAACAAGTAAACTAAGACTACTGCTTTAAAAAATTAAAAATGTAGATGAACTGTAATTTTAGTTTTTGCAGTATCCCTTTGTTTTAGGGACACTGTCATAATTCATTGAAGTAATCTCTGGCTAGGGTAGTAAATTAAGGATTTAACAATATTGTAGTTGGTTTATTTCCTCACATTAAGAACCTCTCTGTACTGTTCATATTCTTAGCTGAATCACAAGGAATGCTTTTTTGTAAGCATGGAGTATTTCCAGCTTTATACTGCACTGTTGTATGGGCAGTAACCTCAGCAGAGTAGTGTTGCCTTTTGCAAGCCTTTTAGATCCCGAAACTGTGTTATTTCCTGTTTATTTCAATATTAATTGGGATTTCACCTGTGGAGTGCCTTGCAGTTATTTAGTGTCTTTGGAAACAGTTTCAGTTAGGTCAGATGTACCATGTATTAGGATACCTATAAGTCACATGTCAGGTGACTGAAAAACCATCCTTGAGGAAATGTCTAAAAACTTATGCTTTGATCTGAAAATGTGTACTTGCTAGTACAGATATAAAGGTTACCTAGATGTTTGGATTTTTCCTTTTTTCCTGTTACAGGATTTTTTCTTTATTTCTGTTATTTTAATTTTATACAGTTTAGATTTTAATCAGTGGCTAATTTGATAGGGCAGGCTTCCTTCATCTGAGAAGGAAGGTAAGCAATTTAAGAAAACTGATGTTACTGAAAAAGAAGTCGGGGAGGCTTACAGGTATTTTAAATGCTTTGTTACACTGGTTAGGAAGTATGTGTCTCTGCAAAATCATTTCAGCATTTGGAGTACACAAGATGAAAAAATACTTTTAAAAAACTATCATACTTGTGACAACCATACAACTAGTCTGTTTGTCACCTTTCTGCAAAGGAGTGCTTGGAAATTAGACCTGATAGAATTGAGGCCATAGGTGCTTTGTTCTCCCTCTGCTATCCTATAACATTTGGAAGTTGCCTAGAGAATAATCTATTCACAAGCACTTTGGACTAAATGGATTCCAGTGCAAGCTTCATAACCTGTGAGAAGGAGCACTAATGCTCTTGCCAGTTTTCTGGCAAGGCAGCTGTTACTGAAATTTGGCTTAGCTGCCTTAGCAGCATGAAGTTATCGTGTTGCTTTCTGAGGTAAAAAAGATTAGATTTGCCTTTCATGCTTGGAAGTTTTTACACTAGAGTCAAAAATGGGTAGCTGAGCTTCTGGTTGTATGACTGTGGCATCTGTATTTCTGGACAGATACACAGTTCTGTGGCTGCTATTTTTGATGTTTTGCTTGGATGAGAGTATTTTTATATCTTTTATTTTTTCCCCTCCCCCTTTTTAGCTTCTCCAACTTATGTGATTCCACTGTCAGGAAGAAAAGTTTCTTTAAATACATATACCCCTGCAAAAATTCAGCCAACACCACTTGAAACTTTGCCTGAAAGGATAGCAATAGAGAAACCATCCTTATGTAAGTAACTTCTGTCCAAGGCAGAACGGTTAACTTCATTACCTTATTTCCAGCAGTAGGATTCTTTCCTATAACATCATTTCTCAGGGCAGCTATTTCTTAACATTCCCTGTCTATGGAAGTGGGATCATTTTACAGGTCAGCAAGAACTCCGTAGCATTGCACAAATAGTTTTAGCAGTAAAACTGTGATAATAGTTTCTTTCACTTATCCTCTGAAGTGTTTGAAAGAATTTCCGTGGCCTCAGAATTAATGAGGTTTTGTTTTTAAGTATGACAGTATTTCCAACTATCTCCAAGACAAACACAGTAAATGTATTTATTTATTTAAATTTATTTAAATGTCAGAATTTCTGAGATGTTTTCTAAAGATTTTCCATAGAGCTCTCTGACCAGGTTCTAACTAAAGCTGCCATCCAGAGGGACCTTGACAGGCTTG